AATTGGACTTAAGACACCCTCAACAAGAGGAAAGTCACATCTGGTACTAGAAACCTAGCTAGCTACCTATGGTTACTGAAGTCATGGGTCTTGGAAAAGAACCTACCACCACTTCATTATAAGCTTAATAATTACTAACTGCTTTATAAATACTTGTTCTTATACCAACAAATTAGTAGTCTTCATCCCTCACCAAGGACATTTCCCTTTGCAATAGATGCAGACCATTACAAAAACCCTCACAACTGCTCAAAATGCAGAGTTGTAGAGCCCAGTCCAAATGAGTACACTACAAAACAGTTCCTGCACTCAGGAAATGTCACTAAAGAGGGGGTGGGAAGATTGTAAGAGCCAGAGGATCAGGGAGACTTCGTCTCCTGATAATGTCAGAAGCTACATCCATGCACAGTCACCTAAACACCAGTTGAAGAAAGGCAACAATAGACATGCCAAATTGGACAGGAAAAAGCCTATGAGGTCTCAGCCATACACAAAGAACTACAGGTAACTAAGGAATGCTGAGAGTGGGAGAAACCAACTGATTATCTAATATCAAATGGTCAGTCCTGAAAAGCCCTGAAAAGTAGCACTGTAAGACTGGATTGGTTATACTTAGGAATATAGAAGCATATTCATAATAACAATTAAAGAAATAAGAGGCCATGCATTTGAAAGGGAGGGTTGAGAGGAAGGAAAGAGAAGCAGGGCAGGGGGAATTGTCTAGTTATGTTACAATCTCAAAAAATAAAAGAACTTAATACATCTACACAAGTAATATATTTCTACTCTAAAGTTGAGAGACATATGTTGCACATATGTCCATTCCAAGTGGGAAATTACAAGAAAATTGACTTAGATTCACCAAATTTCCAGACTTCCAATGAACTAACACCACTGTGTTCTAAACATTCTAAAGCTGAAAACAAGTCTGCATTTTAACATAGTATTGTATTTATTCTTTCATATTACGTATTGATAATATTCACCCCTTCTTTCACTGGGGGATTCCTCCACAGTCCATCCCTAACTTTACTATCCCTCCAAACTTCATGTCCACTTTTCAAATATCTCATGGATTCCATATAATTATGGTTATTGAACCATCCACTAGAGTGTGGTAGATCTATCAGGGTTCATACCTTTAAATAAAACTAATTCTCTATCCCCATGAAGTGAGAAACTGTCCATAGCTCCTCAGTTGGTGGTGGTGGTGGTGGGGGGGTTCATGAGTTCCCTCTCTCCTCTATATTAGCATGTTGATTGGTCGATCTTGTTCAGGACTTGTCAGGCAGCCTTAGCATTGTGGATTCATGAATGCAGTGGTCCTATCATGTTCAGAAGACATGGTTTTAGTATAATCCCAAGACTCAGAGACCATCTTTGCAGGGAGAGAGAAGGGGCACAGAAAGATTTTAAAAACTGGAAGTTGAAGAGGATCCAAGCAACATCTCTTTTTTGATGCTTTATTCACTAGACACACAGAGAATGTCAGAGAATGTCAAATCTCCTGGAGCCACAGTTAAGGAGGGACTGCTTCCTGTAACTAGAGTTATACTTTCAAAAAGGTGGTGGTGCTGACTCCAGGTCACGTGACTCTGGGCTTGTGGGGCCAGAGGTAGGTGTGTCAGTATTTGACCACACTGAGAGCCATTCTTTCCTCTCCACAAGCTTCAAATGTACTTATAAATAAATAAATAAATCAGTTCAATTCCTGTCATTTTATCACAGAAGTGAGGCAGCCCTACCTCATCTCACTTTTCTGGTTTGATGACTTTTCTTTCTTTCTTGTGTAACCCGTTGAGTTTAATTACATTTGTTTGAATGAATATTAGTCAGGGGGATTATTTATTGGAACATGGCCAATTTATAAGCCACTCTCAACTCTTAAATGCCCACAGGCCTCCATGAAAAGTAGGGTCTCACTGAGGTCTTTGATCCACATGGATTTTACTTTCATGTAGCATGAGAGACAGAAACCTAATTGTATTTTAATTTTTTTGCATGTAGACTTTCTGTTTTTCCTTTTTTCAGGCATATTTTTTTGCCTTTTTGTTTTTTATTATTTTTGTTTTGTTTTTCTTTTTTGTTGAAGTTATGAGACTGTGTGGAGAAGGAGGAGCTTTTATTCACTGTTGGTGGGACACATACTGGTGCCACCATGCAGGATCAGTGTGAAGAATCCTCAAGAAGATAAAATCAAATATATCAAACCACCTCGCTATATCCCTTCTGAGCATGTGCCCGAAGGACTCAGCATCCTACCCCACAGTTACTTGCTCATTCATGTTCATAGGGACCCTATTTACAATAGCTTAGAAATGGAAAAACCTTAAATATCCTTCAAAAGAAGAATGGATAATGAAAATGTGTTGCATTTGCACAATGGAAAGCTATTCAACCATATGAAACGTAAAGCCATGACATTTGAAGGTAAATAGATAGACTTAGAAAAGATTATATTGAGCGAGGCAATCCAGACCCAGAAAAACAAACATTGTACGTCTTCTGTAGTTCCTAGCTCCGAATATTCTAAGTCTATAACATGTAGGAACTGCAGAAACCGGAAAAGGATAAAGGAATCATAGGAGGTTTGGATGGGTTGAGAGGTAGAAAGAGATTAATGATATAACGTGAGAAATGGAAAAATGGGGAGGGGATTCCAGAGGAGAGGAATGGTGTGGAGAGAGGTCAATATATACCGAGAAGAGGAAACAAGGGACAAATAACACCAAAGTTGTTTGATAATGCTTCAAGGGATCAATTTATTTTATATTTACCTAAAATTATACAATTTATATACATATATATGTCACTTAAAGGAAGTTAAGCTGCTTTGGGTTGACCATGCTTCCCATAAAAACCATATAATAAGAAAACTCCGGTACCAGACATGAAACACTTCTTAATAATGGTTGGTCAGGATATTCCAAGAAACTTTCAAAACAATATAAACTATTGATGTGACCTTGGTTACCCATCAGAGGTGGAGCGCAGAGCAAGCCACTGTACACCTAGCATGAAGGACTCAGATGATCTGAAAAGCCTCTTTCCTTAGGCCTTCTTCACCTCCATGGTACCATGTGGATTGCTAAGGAAGGGAAGCAGCTGGACAGTTCTACCAGCTGCAGCACCTAAGAGCCACGGTGGTGACCAGCATGGCGCAGTATCCGCTGAAGGCGCCACAAGTGCTGCTCACATATTGGTTGTAGCCCACATGTGTCTAATTGGACTTAGGCTCACTCTACAGGAGGAAAATCATGTCTGGTTCTGAGAACTTATGCAACTTCTTGGGCCTAGTGAGGTCATAGAACTTAGAAAAGAGTCAATTATCCCCACTTTGCTAGACCTGTATGAGTCCTCTCAATCTTACACTTACACCCACAGATAAGGGTCCCTACCACACATCATCAAACATGCCTCTCTTAACAGATGGAGACAATCACAGAAACCACCACAGCTGGAAACAATGCAGAGATCAGTGGCACTTACGAGTCCCATCCATGAAAGTTACTGCACTTAAGGCTCAGGGAACATTGGAGAAGAGGAGGCAAAAAGATTGCATGAGAAAGTCTGCCATGAAAGAGTATCTACTAGAAATGGTTTAATAAACAAGACAAAACAATGGCATTATCAAAGAACATAGTAATATCAAAGGGGGAGATTTCACAGGACCCATCCCTAAACAAGGCGCTAATGAAACTAATGACTCCTTGGAGAAGAAGAATTAGTCTAACCCTGAAATGAGCCCCCTAATTGGCTGTACACATCAGACTGTTCAGCTCTGCAACCACATTCATACAAACCACAAACATAGACTCAGTAAGTTGTATTTATATATTTATGAGTACATATGCATATATGCATACTCGAAAATAGTAATCAAATATAAATATGATATCAACTTGAGAGTTTGGGAGACATGGGGGATGGGAAGGAGGGTATCTGGGGAGGGGCTGGAGAGAAAGGGGGAGGGGAAAATGATAAAATTCTGTTTCAGTCGAAAATATATGTTATTGAAAAAAACAAATGATGTCAGGTAGGATCTCTTTATTAGAGAGCATTGGTGTGAGGATGTGCCCAGGTTAGAGAGCCTCAGGAGCAGCAGTGTGCGTGGGTCAAGAACATCTAGGACGACAGGGGAGTCGGCATCTGAAGACATCACAGTCCATACAAGTCAGGCGTCTCCTATGGAGAACAGGACACAGATGGGCATGCACACAAGTGAAAACTAGCAGACAGGAAGCGAGTGTGGCCAGGTCTCTTGTCTGCTTGGACCAAATTATGGCCATTTGGAGCACTAGCCACGACTGGTCACTGGATCCACGGCTTCTGTTGCTTTCCTTCCCTACACACAAAGTGCCCCTTGATGCAAACATGCAGGTGACATCCTTTTCCTCCCCGGGCTGCAGATTTCTCTCCCAATACTGATCCCTCACCACCCCAGTGTCTCCCTTTTCACAGTTCCCGCATCACAAACAGGGATGAAACTTGGGACTCGTTTGCCTCCCTTATTCACAAAGATGAAGCAAAACCCCATGGATCAGTGGTCTCTAAAGGCTAAGGGAACCCTATATGGGATGGAAGAACATTAATTGGTGTGTGAAACAAAAGCACTCATGCTTTGTAACACTGTAGCCAGAAACTGACCATATCCATGGAAAGCATAAGAAGTTACAAAATCTTAAGTTTACATGATCTTATAAGTGCTCCATGTTCAAAGCAGAATGGCTGCACGTGTGCAAAATAAATGTAGAAAAGACTAAAAAGAGGAATTTGAGACACACTGAGAGCTCACGTAGCTTGCTCTGTCTCTGCAGGGTGCTTGCTTCATAGGCAATGGAGTTCAACTCCATAAACTTTGCTGTTCAGCACATCCATTGCTGTAGGCTTCACTACTAATCTCACATTGGACCCAGGCAGTCCACTGTGTACAACCTATAAACACTGGGGTAGATGCTCTCCCGCCTGCTAAGACACTTACCTCTGAATGTGTCCTGGCCTTGACTGATAATGGGTGTGTTAATCTGTGAAGGCATCTTGATACAGGATTAACTCTCCGTTTGGACAGTAGCACGTCTGTTGAGCTTGGTGGAAAGGCTTTGTGTGGTGAATTCCACCCTGTAGTTGCCCTTGAAACTGCACAAAATACCCATCATAGCCTTGGAAGTGCCGTCTGAAATACGGAAAGAACTCTGCTGTTTTCCTGGCCCGGCCACGCTTGCTTTTGAGCCTCTGAATCGTTTTATGCTGCTGATGCACCTGAGCCTGGTCTTCATCCAGGGCATGTGTTTTGCCCTTGATTTGCTGAGGAAAAGCTTGTTGGAGAGTTTGTGATGCTTGGGAGGATTTCAGAGGGGCACTGTGGGATTTCAGCTTGATTTGTGATTTCACCTGGCCTAGGGTCTTTAGCTGGCCTAGGGTCTTTAGCTGGCCTAGGGTCTTTAGCTGGCCTGTTTGGGACTTCAGCTGGGCTCCGTGGGATTTTAGTTGTGCTTGGGATTTTATTTGTGACTGGGATTGAAGCTGGGATTTTTGTTGGCTAATCTCATCTTCTTCATCACAAACTATGTCTTCGCTTACACCTATCTGTTCCTGTGAACTCTGAGTCTCTCCCAGGTCAGCGTCAGCATCCTGGTCATAGGCACGGTGCTTAGTTTTCTCAAAACCACTTTCTTCAGCTCCATCCTCCTGTGTTCTTCTAGACCCGTAGTGGAAATGGCCTTTCTGGATAAACACAACTGGGGACGTCTTTACTAGAAAGTGTCCTTTTGTCTCACCTGGTAATTGATAAAAAATGTTTGAGTTACACTCTCTGTACAACCCGCTGTAGTCTTATCCCAAGATTTCCCCCATCAACCTGCTTCTGAGTTACCCACAAGGCAAGTGGATTTGGGTGGAGAAGAGTCAGTGTCCAGCAAGATCACCCGTGGAGGGTTCTTCTCCCTGCCAGAGCACCCTTGAGGACATTCTCTCTGGTGCCTTCCTGCCAGGTGACTCCCTGCACTCACCATAGATTCCTATCCCAGCTGCTCGCCTCTCCAGAAGGAGGAGCAGAGAAAGGCTGAAGAAGACGGACTTCATCTCACCAGCAGGGCCTTCACTGAGAGCTCAGTTGACCATTGCTTTATATGTGGCTTGCTGGGTGCATAGATGTGGCTGGAGTCACAAAAGGCCATACCCATTCCCACTTATCTGGCATGTGGCCTCTGCCCTCTTCTCAGTAGGAGATATTGTCAATATTCCTAGAGACCATAGACACATGATGTCGGAGTCTTTGTCTAACCCCACGTGTCCCAGAAAATCTTTATCGCCAGTTGAAGATCATCACATGATGTTTCCAGAAGCAATTCCAGGCAGAGATCACAGGAGTGACCTTGGCCTGTCCAAGCTTTTGTGGTTCGAGTGTGGGGCCTTGTCCACAGTGCACTTTGTTTCCTGCCGTATCGCAAACATGATGTGTACTTCTGTTTCTATCCAATGAGATGGACACGGATCTGTTTCATCTCAAAGGGCCTATTCATAGAGATTTTAAAAAACAACATAAGATGATTTATCCCCAGTGCATGAATTGGCTTTTTGGAGCCCATACCCTATGGAGGGATACTTTTCTCAGCCTTGGTACAGGGAGGAGGGGCTTGGTCCTGCCTCAACTTGATATGCTAGACATTGTTGACTCCCCACGGGAGGCCTTACCCTTTCTGAGGGGTGAATGGGAGTTTGGGTGGAGGGAAAGTGCAGGAGGGGGGTGGAAGGGAGCAGGAGGAGGGGAGGATTGTGGTTGGTATGTAAAATGGAAAAAGATTAAATAAAAACATTTTAAAAACTAACCAGAAAAAGACATAGGAAAGAACGCAAATGTAAGGATTCCATAGTCATTTTTATAAATAACTGAGATACTGATTCATAAAAGCAACTCCAAAATGCTTAACCTTACTAGTAGTGACCTGTGTGAAAATCCTCCAATGCTTTCTTTCATTAGTAATTTCTTAGTTCCCCCTCCCTCCTCTCCTCCTGCTCCCCTCACCACCCCCCCCATCTGCTCCTCAGAGAGGGTAAGACCTCCCTTGGGAAGTCAGCTAAGACTGATGAGAGCTCATGAGTACAGTGTGGCGGGTCATCACCTGCAAGGTGGGAGCAGCAGAGCCAAGTGCTGGAGTGCTCTGTGCTCTGTGTGTCCAGTGGGGTAGGCGTTGGGGCTGCATCTCAAGAATGAGGGGATCTGCAGAGGGCTTTTCAAGTATGGGAGAAATTTACTGGGTTTGACTGGAGACAGGAATAACTGTGTGTGGTTGGAACAAGGAGAAAGGACGCTGGTTTCCTCATTTCAGTATTTTCATGAGATCATCTAAAATCGCAGTACCCTCAATGAGGGAAAAGCCTTTTGCAAATGAAAACAACTTCAGTCATCAGCTATGTCTACTGTCACTAGTGAATGTGTTAATAGACGTATTCTATGACTGTATTGAGACTGGAAACAAAAGGAGCCTGTCCAAGTCCTATAAAAGTGCAGTACCCTATAACTGTGAGAAGACCCCAAATGGTTCATAAGACTGGTCTTTAGTTTCCCAGGCAAACGTGGTGTGGACAGAGCACAGTAGAATTAACCATCTCTGCAGAGAGCCTGCATGCCCTCATAGCAGTCAGGCAGGGCATCGAAGAGAAGGCTTGTGAAAAAGTACTTCCAATCTCTCTATCCCCAAATGTAGTCCACCTAGAAGGACGCTGCATGGAGGGCTAAGGTGATGTCCAATCGTGTTTTCATGGGAGGAACGGACATAAAGGTACTCAGTCACCAAACAGAACACGAGGATGCTGGCTTTTATCTAGGGGCTCTGAGCACTTCCTAATCTGACCTCTTTGTTCCAAACTGAAGATAACTGAGTCCTCAGTAGAGACGCCAGTCAAAAGATTAGAAATTATCAAGAAGGCAAATTACTTCCCTTCTTGCCGAGTTCTCCACTACTCCATGCCCTTCCCTTGAGAAAATACCAGGAGGCGCTCTTCTATGGAGAGCTGACTTGGAGACGAATGAGTTAGAAAATGGATTTTGATCACTGATCAAAAGCTCTGTGTCATGCTCTGTGTACAAGACAAAGATAAAACTGAAGAACTCTTGATATTCACAAGGAAAATCAGAAAAGTTTCAATAAAAACTACCAGGAGATCATGACATCAGAACAGAACTCACTAGCATTTATAATGGGCTGCTGGATCTCAGAATGCACGACAATGATAAAGGTAATCACAAGATCCATGATGCCTAAAGAAGAAACGTGGTGTGATGATGACAACCATCTTCATAATAGTACATCATGAAGAAGGAAAAACCTGAGGACAAATTTAAAGAAGAGGGCAGAAATGGTGTCTTCACAATTGTTATAAGTATAGACAAATTATACTTTCAAGGCAGAAGAAAAATTACTTTTAAAATCTTGTCTTCTTGTTAGGGATCACGTTATAGATGTATGGGCTGTAATTGGGCTCCACAGCTCTGGTGTGATCAGTTATTCTGTAACGGTCTCAGTTGCAAAGAGAAATTTCTAGGTGAGAACTACATGCTATCTGTGGGTGCAAGGAATAATACTATATTATAATCTCAAAAAACCCCTTTTCTATCTAAAAAACATTTAATAAATCTTTATCATTAAAAAAACTTGCAAGTATAAAAATGTACCCAATGGGAAGTACAGTGTCAGTGCTCCCACGCTCTCCCTGCCAAGGAGCAAGCCCCATCACCTGTGAGCCACTGTAGAGACGGAGAGCTAGGAGTTTGGGGGTTGGCAGATTGCTGGGCTGCTTCAGTTCCCTGTCCCACCTAGGGTTTGTTGCAGATCAGTCTGAGCTCTCTGAGCCCAGTTCTTCCTGTTAGTTCACTTGGTTTTCCCAGTCTCCTTCCTTCCAGGCAGAATATTTACTACTGAGAAAGAGCTGAAGGCCTCAGAGTTCTGACTTCTCCACCTTCAACCTAAGTGGAGACTTTGTTGCTTCGTTTACCTTCCCACTCTCTGACTTACTCAGGAGTTGCCCCAGGGCTTGGACATTTGCTGTCTCTAGGTGAAAGTCTTCTAGAGTGAGTGGGAACCTGCCAAATTCACAGACTGAAAACTCCCTGGGACCTGCCATGGCTCTAATACCCAAAGGAGGTGCGGTTATAACGTAAAGGCCGCTCCGATGCTGAGAACTGACCCTTGAAGCTGCAAGTCCTCAGCTTACATAGAATCCCAGCCGGAACAGCACAAATGACCGAGGAGTCCAGCAGTGACTTAGTGTTCCCCCACTTATACTTGGAAGATTTAGCAGTATAGGATCCAGAAATAGGCCTGCCAAATTCTCTGTCATTTTGAAATGATTTATAATTTTTTTTATTTCTTTCCTTTTACTGTATTTTTTGTACTGATCATAAAAGAACAAAAAGCTTCATATAAATTTAATAGTACCACCCTCTCCTATATTATCTGTATTGAGATCATCTAAAAAGAAAATCAGCAAAATTCTGCTTTAAGCAAGTACAGACCAAATATGCCTAATAGACAGCTGCACACCTGAAGTTCGTACTCATTATTGGAAGTCATGGAAATTTCTCTAAGACGGATTATGATTTAGGCTTCAAAACCAAGTTTTGACAAACTCAAAAGAATAAGGCACTTTCTTATATCTCATTAGTTAGAAACACTGCAGAAGCCACAACCACATAGGGATGAACATAATTCAATTTTCAATGGTTAGTGAGTTTTTGAAGAAATCTGGGGGAAATGAAAAATTTTCCATAACTACTGAAAAAGCAAGATGCTTTGAGATAAGGCAGAGGCAGTTATAATAACTTTATAGATATGAATGCTTGACTTAAAGAGATAGATATTATCTTATAATGAAATAGAAACCGCAAAAAATACAAGGAATCTGTAAGGAGAACTGATTCTTCGAAAAGATAAACAAGATTGGCAAAACTTTAACCATATTAACCAAAAGCTACAGAGAGAAATTCTAAGTTAATAAAAGATGAAAGAAAAAAGGACATTATATCAGATACCAACGAGACTCAGAAAACCATATTTAAAAAACCTCTATTCCACTAAAGTGGAAAATCTGAAAGCAATAAAAAAATTCTTGGTTCTTTCAACACACCAAAACAAAACAAAACAAAAGACAAAATTAACCCAAGATGAAATCAGTTTTTACTGACTCCAAAACAGGAGTGAGATTGAAGTAGTGATAAAAAGTCTTCCAATTTTAAAAAACGTGAGGTGCCATAGGAATTCACTGCAGTTTTACCAGAACTTCACAGAAGGACTATCATCAGCATCACTTAAGTTATTACATATACCAGAATGGGAAGGCTTCCAAATTCTTTTTATGAAGTCAGTATTACCCTGATGAACACACACAGGCATGCGTGCATGCGCGTGCGCACACACACACACATGAGAAGGAAAAGGAAAATTGCAGACTTATCTCTCTGATGAGCAAAGATCTAAAAATTATTAACAAACTATTGGCAAACCAAATCCAAGATCATATACAAAAAGATCATTCATCAGAACCAAACCGGTTTCATTCTAGAAATGCAGTACTTAAATCAACAAATATCATTCATCATATAAATAGACTCAAAGACAAATCACATTATTGGCTCCTTAGATGCAGGAAAGGCTTTTTATAAAATCCAACATCATTCAAGGAAAAAGTCATAGACTCTAGAAATATAGGGATGAAGTTCAACATAACAAGTGCTATTAACAGCACACGTATGGCTGGCATCATTGTAAATGAAGAAAAACTAAAAGCATTTGTAATACCATCAGGAACAAGGTAAGACGATGTGGGATTCCCCTCTGTCTGCTGTGAATACCATTGGTTAATAATGGAGCTGCTTTGGGCCTGTTGATAGGGCAGAACTTAGGTAGACAGGGGAAGCTAAATGGAATGCTGGGAGAAAGGAGGCAGAATCAGAGAGAAGCCATGTAGCCCTGCTGGAGACAGATGCTGAAACTGCCAGTAAGCCACTGCCTCGTGATGATACGCAGATTAATGGAGATGGGTTAAATTAATATCTAAGAGCTAGCCAATAAGAAGCTAGAGCTAATGGGCCAAGCAGTTATTTAAGTAATACAGTTTCTGTGTGATTATTTTGGGGCTAAGTGGCCAGGTACTAACTAACAGCCTCCTCCAACAGTAAGAGTTCACTCTATCCACTCTTAGATAATTCAATACTTGAAGTCTTAGCTACAGCAATAAGACAAGAGAATGAAAAAAGGAATACAGATAGAAAAGTTGACATATGACATGATTCTATGCACAAAAGAGTCTAAGACTCCACCAAAAATGTTTGGAGCTGATCAATAATAATTTAAGCAAAGTGGAAGTATAAAAAAAAGTAGCACGAAAATGAGAAGCCTTCTTATACGCCAACCACAAATACGAAATGAAAAAGAAACCAGGAAAATAATCTCATCTATAGTAGACACATTAAAAACAACCCAGATAATAAACCTAACTAAGGAAATAAGAGACCTTCGCAGTAAAGCCTGTCAGATGTTG